TAAACTCGTGTGAAATAATAGAACTGGCAAGAACAAATTATTTTAGTAACACATACTGTAAAAGGCTTGCATTTCTTTACATTCAGTTGGATATACCTCTGTTACAAAAATTGAAAACAGAAAACCAAGTACAGGTATAAGTATTTTGTAATATTATTACTATTTGTAACAATGAGACTAAATATTTTTTTACATTATAAAGTAATAATACAACATATTTATATCATAAAGTTTTATTTTAGTACCTTGATGTCCAACATATATATATATATAAATTTTATAGATAATGGGATGATTGTAAAGGTAACATTTTAAAAAAAAAGGTAATCTTAGACCAGTGAAATAAAAGGGACTGGATATAGTTGTCCATGTAAAACAACAAATAAAACATAATCTTCACTGTACACAGGAACACTTAGAATAGTAAGTTCAGTACAATGATACTTTTTCTGGCCAGTTTTCTTGGTAATGTTTATATTGGCTACTGAAACTGTAAGATAAGAGGATTTTTTCTGGCCAAGTATAACTTCACCTCGAGCTAGTGTTATATTACCCAATCCTGAATTAGTTTACAGATTATAATTATTTTGCATTGAATATGAGATAATTTCTCTGCTGATACTGACTAGTGCATACTGAGGGGCAAGGAAACTAGGTAAATACAAGAACATCTACACGAAAATTTTGAAACACTTATGCTGTTATATACCTGAATAAAAGATACATTAATATTCTAATATGCTAGAAGCTTCCAACAGCCACTCAAGTCTCATATCCAGTATTTTCTTATATAATCAGTTCAGCAAAATATGACATTGCTCGTATAATGACCGATCTTTTCTTTGACAATATTTGAGCAGTGAGTTGTTTGACTTGTTAAATCTGTTTTTATAAAAATGAGTTGTTTAATTAAAATGTTGAATCTAAAATTTCAGTTTCATCATTTTTATTCTGTTATTATGAATTTGGTAATTTGTTCTTTATAAAAGTACAAAATAAATACGTTTCGGTATTGTTATCTACACAAAGTCAGCGGTAAAGTTCATTTGAATAATATCTTCTTCATTTAATGTTATTTTTTCATTCTAGATGAATAAAAGTTCAAGAAACTGATGATAAAGGAAGAGCATCACAGAAATTATTAGACTGCTTTAAACAAAATTTCCAATTGTGTGGGTAAGATACAAATAGAAACATTTTATTTATTTTCTTAGCAAATGGAAATCTTACTACAAATACTTCTATTGGATTATGCTCCACTTTGCACTGCACATCTTTTGTGGTGATATGATTTTCCTCATTTTGACTGTCTTTAACTGACTGGTGATGGGTGTTTGGTGGCAGAATATGTAGCAGTAGTGGATTGTACACTATTTACAATGAAGAATGCTGCCCCTGTTCATAAGTCAGGTGGCTATCATGACAATTGTGTACCTAGAGAGCTGTGGTCATTTTCAGGCTCAAGAAGGCCAGGTGTGACCAAGCAGGCTCCTGTGGTGAGTAGCTTCTTCTTGTGGTTTAACTCAAGTTTTCTTAAATAGTTCTTTTTGCTTGTATTTCTGCATCTTAGAAATTTCAAACTGTTTCATTTTTATTTTCTTTCTTTTTTGCATGCTTTTCTGTGTATAGCCATAACAACTGTATCTACAAACATCTTATTCTAACAACCAGATTAAAAGTCTACGTAAATTTAACATACACTATATGTAAAAGCCTGATATATACTTTGATATTTTTACAAAAGATATAAGAATGCTTACAAGAACTAATCATCCATTTGGACTCAATATATAATTTTGCAAGAACTTCATAAGTTATGTTTACTCTTCTGAAAAAAATTATTTTTTTAATATATTGGTATAAAGACAAAATTTCGACAAAAGACAGACGACATAGTCATGTAATGTTTACCTTCATAGTATAGATAGGGAGCTAAAAAATAAACTTTTTTTGTCTTTTGGTACTTGTTTCATACAACTGTGTATGATATATTAACCTTTTAAGAATATAAAGTTGTACGATTTACCCAGCTCAGGGTAAATTTGAGTTTGAATTAAACCTTTAATGTAATATATATGTATTATACAAATCAGAAATTAACAGCTGTAGAAGATACAAATCTGAATAATGTGATAAAATTTAAAGGTTGGCTGTCTGTAACAACTATTTTGATCATATGTATACAAATCAGTGTCAAAGGAGAAAATAAAACTACATTCTATGTTGCTGGTCATATCTTGTCATTTCACTTCTATAATGATAGTAATGTACATACAAAACAAATGAAAAAGACTGATATACAATAAAATAATTATCTACATTATTTTTAAGTTCTTTCTTTGAAAATTCCTTGAACTTATATTAAGATTTTTAGATTATCAGTTGTTTCAAATTTATCTTAGACATATGTACTAAGGATCCTTCTGGTTTAATGAATTTGTGTGGGACTATGTTGGATTGTCTGTGTGAAGAAAAGTAGCATGGAAAACTTAACCCCTTCACAACAGGTACATACTTGTGTATGTATGAGAAGCGAGTTCCGTTATAAGGCTACATACCTATGTATGTACTATGTATGTACATATTATTTAGCTACCTCTGACAAAAGTCATGACATCATCAGTAAATTAGCTCTTTCTCTTAATCATGATTGGGTTGATTAGGGTGCACTTGGGAAATAATGTGTGAGTCATTCCCCCCACAGGAGTCAGTTTTTTGTTTGCTTTCAAAGTGTGATTGTTTCATTACTAAAAAAACATGGTAGTGATGATAGTGATGTTGACTATTTCCCAGCTGATACTGACAGTGAATGGGATTTATCCTCAGGTGAGAGTGACACCAGTTCTTGTGATTTGGAAGAATCAGTGCCAGTTGCAAGGGAAATATTGATTGGGTGGAAACTAATTTCAGATCCATTTACTGATGCTAGGCCTGAAAACATTGCTCCATTGAACTAGCCATATGAAGGAATAAACCCCAATATAGATATGGCCAGTGAGAAATATAGTAGTTATTTCAAACTCTTTCTTAGTATAGAAGTTATGCATTATTTGTGTGGATGTATAAATGATCGTGCTAAAGAATATTTCAATACGAATCCTGATTGCAATAGCAAAATTTATGGAATCAAGTGGTGTGATGTTACTACTGATGAGCTGTATGTGTTTGTGGCACTGTTTTTTATACAGTGGATTATGTAAGTTCAACCAACTTCATCAGTATTGGCAACACTTTTCTCTTTTTCTATGAATTTATTTTTACTGCAGTGACGTTATGAGTTGGGACAGATTCTTTACTATCATGAAATTCTTGTGCTTTTCAAATGTTTCAGATGTTGAAAGAGAGAGAGAGTGCTCAAACTCAAATAGAACTTGTTTGTGACCTCTTGCATGAAAAATGTATGTAGTCGATGCAGGGGAAAACATTGCAAATGATGAAGCTTTGATACTTTGGAAGGGTAGGTTAGCTTTCCGGCAATATATAAAAACCAAGAGATCACGTTTTGGATTGAGATGATTTGAGTGTATATACCTGGAATTTTAATATATATTATGGAAAGGACACATACCAATTACCATTTGCTACACCCCAAAACCTTTTGGTTTCAGAGAGAACTGTAGTACATCTTGCACAAAGTGAACTAGACCAAGGACGACACATAATTGTTGACAACTTGTATTCCACTTTGAGGTTAGCCGAGTATTTAGATTTGACAAAGACTTGTATGACAGGGACAATAAGGCCAAACAGAGGCTTTCCAAAAGAAATCTGTGCCGAAAAAGTCTACCCAAATTAACAAGTGTATTTGCAAGGCGTGATAATGCTCTAATTGTGCAATGGGTTGACATTCTGGTAATTACAACAAAGTATGAGGCCTCATTGGTTGAAAAGAATAAAACATATTATGGAGGAACATCCAGATTATTCTATAAACCCTATTGTATTGAGAAATATAATAATCATGTGGGCTGCTCTGTTGACAAAACTGACTAATATATGTAACCTTATGACCCATGTCGAAAATCCATGGCATGGCTCAAAAAGCTAGGCCTACATCTAGTTTCTTGGATGACACCAAATGTCTTTCTTGTCTGTAAAAGGCAAAGTGGAAACCAAAAATTGAAATATTCTGGTTATCTCAGCACTGTTGTCAAAGAACTGTTGACAGACCACACAAATGGTGGCTTTGAAAAAGCAGTACCTACAGCAAAACAAGAGGAATGAAACAAAAATGCGAAGTAGAGGAATCAGTCCATGCTCTGGTGTCTATTCCACCTTCTGAAAAAGTAAAAAAGACCCCAAAAGAGCTGCCGAATATGCACAGGAAAGAAAGTAATGAGGACCTACTGTCCTGAATGCCCAGAAAAAGCCAGGCCTGTGTTCCATTAAACACTTAAATGTTTGGCATTCCAAAAAATAATAAGCATAGCAGCCTCACCGTCATCCATAAATACTCTACTAGAGCGTGCTGCAGAGATATATACACACACACACAAATATATATGTGTGTGTTTAGGTTAAGTGTAATATATAATAATTATCAGTTATATTGATTATCACATATACATATATCTTTATGTAATTTCTATAGGCCTATTTCTATATATAAATCCCTCATTAATTGGATTTTTGGACAATTTCCTTATTCTTTTGTCAAGTTTATCTTTCCTGCTACCTTATTTTATTTACCATTTGTTATTAATTATAGTATTTTCTAGTTTTAAGATGGTACATCTATTACCTTCAGGCTAGTTAATAGTTGATTTTTAATTGTTGATCTTCAATATAGTTGGTTTATCTCTTGTTAATTTATGAGAGTTTAGTTACAGCACTGGTTTCCATTGACTCTTTACTCTGTTAAGATTATCAACTTTTTCAAAGAATTTATTTCTGTCAGCCATCATGAATTTTTATATTCTGTTTGAACATCATGAAATGTAATTTGTATACTGTGACTTAGGGACTGTGATAAATATTCTGAATATTCTTTTCCTTCATGTATTGCAGTTTTCAACATTTTTGTTTCTCTGTCTTCTTTTATCCCATTTGACCTTATCTCAGACGTAGGTGAAACACAGATAACATTATCTCTTCTTTGTTTCTAGGAGTAGAACACACTGAGTAGGACAGCTGTTTGTGTCTTTCTATTAAGGACCACTCACCTTCTTTTAATACCACTTATCATTTGAAAAAAGGTGATGATCGATAAAGATATCCCCTCCCCCACCTCAATCCTCAGGTTTATGAGATTAATATTTTGATAATGATGCTCTTCTTTTTGTTTTATGGAGAATATTCTATTCCTTTTGTGTGGCTTACATCTTTTGGATGTTTTGAGTTGACAAAATTCTTTTGACAGTCAGTGAATAAAGGCAGTTTTTCATTTCTCTCATTTTACTTTCCTAAATCTGTGGCTATAGGCTCTTCCAAAGAGGTTCCCTTTAATCCACAATTGTTGGATTACCCTTCTCTGTAGTGGAGAGCTTTATATGCTTGAAATGTTATTTATTTCTTAATTTTCTTCACATGAGCCAAGTTCTTATACTATTTTTGTATAACTAGTTTTCAAATCAGCCAAGACTTTTCTTAATTTTAAAGACTGTTTGAATGACTAAATTTTGTGAATTCACCTTACTTTAGTGAGTGAGGTAGCTGATATATTGTTTCTCATGTTTTGTACTTTGAATGTGGATGTGAGACAGACAGATGGGAAAGTGTTATATATATATATATATATATATATCTATATATCTATTTACAGATCTAGTTTCTTTTATTAAAATCAAATTACTACTACT